CAGATGTAGTGGAAATACCAAGTGAACTAGAATTAGAAGTGGACCCTGAAGATGAAACTGAATTGCTGTAATCAATATGAATAGATGAGGAGTTGCTTTTTATGGATGAACAAAGGAAATGATTTCTTGAGATGGAATCTACTTCTGATGAAGATGCCGTGAACAATGTTAAAATGACAACAAACCATTTAGAATATTATATAAACTTAGTGGATAAGGCTAAGGTCTGAGAGAACTCTCTCCAATTTTGAAAGAAGTCCTGCCACAGATAAGATGCTATCAAACAACATTGCATGCTACAGAGAAATCTTTTGTGAAATAAAGAGTCAATCAGTGCAGCAAAACTTATTGTTGCCTTATTTTAAAAAATTACCACAGCCACCTAATCTTCAGCAACCACCACCCTAATTAGTCAACAGCCATCAACATCAAGGTAAAACTCTCCACCAGGAAAAAGACTACAACTCACTGAAGGATTTGATGATCATTAACACATTTTTTGGCAAATTTTAAAAATTATGTACTTTTTTTAGAGTAATGCTACTGTATACTTAATAGACTTCAACATAAACATAATTCTTATATGTACTGAGAAATTCAAAATTTCATGTGAACTTTATTGTGATATTCGCCTCATTATGGTGGTCTGGAACTGAACTTACCATTATGCCTATAGTAGTGTGATAGCAGATGTTGAAGGGTTGTAAGCAAAAGAGTGACATGATCAGTTAGCACTAGAGGGAAAAAAACCCCAATTCAAATGCAAAAATAAAGAAAAGAAAAATGAATACGAAGGCATGAGTTAGGTTGTTAGAATAATATTCTATGCAAAATATAAGGTATATGGTGCCAGAGATAGAGAAAATGCATAGGTTTGACCTATCTGAGTTCTGCCTTATCACATACCACCTGGGTGACCTTGGGAAAATCACTACTCTGGTCCTCAGTTTTTCAAATGAAAATGGAAATAACAACCCCTTCCCTACTTACCATGCAACGGCAATCAAATGAAAATGAAGGTGCGCTGTGAACTATAATAATGGTTCTAGGAATATAAGAGGTTAACATTATTGCTCAATCACACATGTGGCTACTCTTTCTTCTGTCCTCCTCCCCACAACCATTACTCATATAGATAATACCAAGAGAGAAAAAAATCGTACTTTACTGGCTGTATATGTGCTGTTTATTTTTCTCATACAATTAAGCTGTTTCATCTTTAAAAGCAGCAGGCTTCTTGTATAGCTCTCCTCTATATGCTCCAGTGCTTAGCAAAGAGCATAGCACATAGCAGGTATTCAATAAAGGTCTGCAAACTAAGTGAAAGAATGAAACTCAACAAACACTTGTTGGCTAAATGATTCCTCCAGCCTATCTTCTCCTTCTTCCTAATAGTAGTATGAATTATGCACTAATTTGAAATGTTCTCGCCTTTTTGGAATGATTAAGATTTGTGGCTCCATAAAGGAACCTTTAAAATCATGGACTGTGTGTAACCTCTATGAATTGTGAGTTTCCGTAAAACCTCTTAGGTATCCTGGGTACCAGCTCAACAAAACCTGTCAAATTCAGGGGATGTGGGAAGGAAGACAGAAAGGAAGATTTGGAGCCATCTCACCAGGGTCCTGGTCTTGTCTCTAATACTTGTTAGTTTCAGAGCCTCCATTTCCTTATATTTCAAATAGGAAGAATAATTGTACTTCCTGCCCCACAATGACACTGAAACAAGATAAGGAATGCTAGATTGGATTTTGTCTTTGTTTTTAGCTCTAAGTAACATTCATTCAACAGCCATTAATTGAGTGCCTAATTTGTGCCAGGCAATATATTAGATACTGGGGACACAAAGATGAATCTCTCTAAGAGCTCAGCTCATGGTTTAAAAGGGGCTAAATAAGCCAACAATAAAGTGCAAAGACAAGGAGTAGATAATGACCTGGGTGAAGATAGTGGGCTCTGGGCAGTAGGAGGGGCTTCTCACCCTCCCTTTCTTCTGACTATCAGAAGTCATGGAGGAAGACACTCAGGAGGACAGGAATGTTTAAGCTTACTTTATAAGGAAGGATTTGGGCAGGTGAGGAATATAAAAGAATAGTATTCCAGACAATGTAAACGACAGAGATATATCATTCATTTAAGTACTCAACAAACATTAATTGAGTACATTATAAGCAACGAATTCTAGAGAAATACGGATGAACTAGATAAAACCTCCGCTTAGGGGGCACACACTTCCCAGATGAGCAGGAAACCAGTTAGCACACTCGTAATCCAGGGTAACCTCATGATACCCCATCCTAAAAACTTCAGGCTACTTCTTATCAGTTCCAGGTAGGGTCACATGGAGGGAGACATGGCTGGAGAGAGACAAGGGGCAGAAGATGAGAGTGGCAACATTGGCAGAGGCAGCGTCCCTTTCTTCTTATGCAGGAGACTGTGGGCAGGTTACTGAACCTCTTCAAAGCTCACTGTTTTTCCATCTTCAAAACAGAGAGGACAATCAAAACTATCTTAAAAAGTAGTTGTCATAGGAATAAAATGAAGTGATAGGCAAAAGCTCTTCAGCATAGTACCTGGACCAGGGTGCCCAAGAACTGTTAGCTGTCATTGTCTTGTCGCCACATTATCCTTACTGTTGCTATAAAAGGAAAGTCACCTCAGGCAATGTGAATGACTTAGGGAAAAGGAAGCAGAGCAACTGCTCTCAAGCTCTCAACTTCCTGGAGTCCATGAAGAAGAAAAGATAGGCCAGGACATATTTTATGTGACCCTTTGCCCTAGACCAGTGCTTCTCGAAGTCTTACATAGAAAGAACCTTAACCAGAAGAGTGAGTGAATATTCCCAAGAAGCTCCTTCCCCGCCATGGACTCTGACTTTTCAATATTTGATCTTAGAAATTCGTTATCCTCTATAATCTGCTCATTTCTGTCACCATCAGCACCACCATAGGAAACAACCCATACACGTTTCTAGGCAATGTTATGACATTTTATATGCATTAATTCATTCAATCCTCACAACAATCCTTGGAAGTAGGTACTAATACCATTTCCATTTTATAGATAAAGAAATTGAGGCAAGAAACATTGGTAACTTATCTGAGATCACAAACTAATAAACGTTGGAAGTGGGATGTCAATCCAGGCAGTCTGGCTGCAGAATCGGTGCTCTATAACGGGTGACCTACCTCTCTAACATAAAAATGCTTCCCTCCTTAAGCCTCACACCAGCAATGATGTTTCATATAGATTTACCATGCTTATCCTGTGGCTTCTGGCACATGCCCATGTATCCATACTCCATGTGAGGAGAATCCCCTAAGACTCGAGAGCTTCATTCAGGTTTGCCATAGTGAGATAACATTACTAATGACAAATGCCCACAGTACTTATGCAGCTAACAGGGCTCAAACAGATGATAAGTTGGCCACCACTAGAAGATGATTAAAAATCTACTATTAAGCCAGAGTATACCTCTGTACTTAGAGTAGACCTTTTTTAAAGTAGCTTTTCATCAGGGGATTATATTTTCTTCCTGATAATTTATTTAATGGCAAGCAAGGCTATATGTTAAAAGAACAAAGAAGACCTGAGTGCAAAGAGGAGAAGATTCTTACCAGATTGAGGGCAGAAAGGAGGGGAGAAGAGAGGAAAATTAAACAGGCAGAGGAGAAGATGCATCCCTCTTTTACTCCTGCATAATGCTCCAGTACTGACCACCCACTCCCTTCTCTCTCTGCCTTCTTCTCTGGGGGCACTAACAGCAGCCCAGAATTCATTAAAGTTTAAACAGACTGATCAATAGGGACAGAATAGTGAATTGTCCATCTGCAAATTACCAAGCACCTCATGAATATTTAAGGGAATAAGCCAAGAACAGGGAAAAGAAGGAATCCAGGACTTAATTTTTCCCTATGGAAAAAAAGACAAAAGGATCTCAGCCATTACTGATCACCAGGATATAAAATCGAACAGTCAAGTGAAACTTTAAAAACAAACAACAATTGTGCAGCATTCCTTCCCTTCCCAAGCCAGCAGGCTACATCCAATCCAAGGCCACTCATGGTGAATATATGCCTGGCACATATGGGAGACACTCTAGTCTGACTTCTTTGCTTTCTCAGAACACACCACGTTTTCATGCCACCATGCCTTTGCATATGCTATTCCCTCTGCCCAAAATGCAGTTCATCTCATCCTCATTGGTCCACTTGGAAGGCAGGAGAGTCCACTGATTAAGAATGCACCTCTGATGCAAAGGCATAAGAATGTTACATTGGACTTTGGGGACTTGGAGGAAAGCATGGTGGGTGGTGAGGAATAAAAGACTACACATTGGGTACAGTGTACACTGCTTGGTAGATGGGTGCACCAAAATACCAGAAATCACCACTCAAGAACTTGGTCATATAACCAAACACCACCTATTCCCCAAAAACCCATTAAAATTTTTTATAATTAAAAAAAAAGAGTGCACCTCTAGAGTCAGACTGCTTTGTTATAGTCCTGCCTCTGCTACTTACTGTGTAAACTTGAGTAAGTTACCTAACTTTTCTGTGCCTGCATTTCTCCCTTAGTAAAATACGCTTAGTGATAGTATTACCTTTATAGGTCATGTGAAGATGCAACTACACAGTGCAAGTTAACACATTTTACACAGCCTTTGCCACACGTTAACGGCATGGTAAATGTTAGTAAGATGATCAGTGAATTATTCCACATTTGGTCACACCTGAAGCTGTCCTGTCTTCCCTGAGCCCCCTCTGGTTAGCTCTTTCCCCAGCTCCAGCTATAGTTACTTTGCCCCTAGCTCTTATCATGTATTAGCTGTTTATCAGTCTCTGCCACTAGACTGTGAGCTCCTGAAGGACAAGGCCTATGTTCCGCTTACCTCTGCATCTAAAGTTAACCCAACATACTTTGCAGCACTGGATGGACACACAACAAACATTCAGCAGGTAGGAACATAAGCAAGGAGAGAATGCCAGTTTTGCCCATACCTTTGTGACAACACAGCACGCAGCCCAGATGTCCTCAGAGGACTGCTCATGGTGGTTGAACTGGGGCTCCCATTTCTCAATTGGGTGGTCTGCAAAAGCCAGCAGGACCCCACTCTGGTCCACCAGAGCTGCACGGACACTGCCTGTTCCAACGTCCACACCCACATAGTACCTCTTTGGCTTCTGTTCTCCACCAGACATTGCAGTTCCTCCACCTACAGTAAGCAAGTGTAAAAACTACATGAAGACCAAGTGGATCTGCAAAGACAGTCACAAAACATCTCAAAAGTAGATATAAAAGAGGTACCACTACCTAACTGGTAGCCATTTGTTATTTATTCATCCAACAAACATTTTTAGTGCTAACAGTATACTAATAAACATTGAGCTACATGCTACATATCTGAACAAGACAGATATGGCCTCAGACACACATTTCCATTCTTGAAAAAGAATCAGACGTTAAGCATTTAAATACATAATTATTTAGGCAAACTTTTGAGAAGTGTTATAAGAACAAGAACAGGGTGGTAGGAGAACTTAGAATCTGGAGGCAACAGAGATGAATTTATTCTTAGTGAATTTCAATCAACAGGGACAGGAGCCACGGTACTGAAAAGGAACTTGTCCTCCTAGTCATTCATTCATTCCACAATTACCTACTGAGTACCTCTTATGGGCAAGAGGGGGTTGTTTTCACTGTGAAAAGTGCATACAACCCCCTCTACTTCTCACTATGACTCTAGAAAATGAGGCTATTTACATCTCCATTTTACAGGCGGTCAAGGTGAGACTCCAAGCGATTAGCAACTTTTTGCTTAATGCTAGCTAGATCTACTCATAAATTCAAACAGTAAATGTACATTACAATAATGTACATTATTATAATGATATACACAACACTGATGAAGAAGCAGGTCTCTGAGAAGTTAAGGAATTTACTCAGCTTCAATCAGGGGCAGCCTAGACCTAAAGTTCCACATTTACGCAATCCCAAGTCTCATATTATTTCCTTTGTTTCTTAAAAGCTTTCAGTATAGATTTGGAAAAGAGGCAAATTTATTGCAGCTGTGTCATGAAGTGACTGGGAATTGGGAAGGAACCCTGAGGAGACAAGATCAGGAATTAGTTAGACAATCTGTTTTCCTTACAGTCCCCTCGTGAGTTACAAGGAAATCTGACCAGAGCACACTCAGGAATTCCTTAGTCTTCATGACTGCTCTAAGTCCCTTTGGTCAGATTAGCCCGCATGACACGGAATCTCACAGAGGATTTTATTTTCCAGATTGGCCTTTGAAAGAATAAGAACAAGCCCCCAAGACAACTGAGCAGGTGAATGTCTTACAACTCTCCAGGTGAACTCAGGGCAGTCTTACCACCCAGAGTCTAATTTCAATCTGAGCAGCCTTCTGCATCCTTCAACTTCAGAAAGAAAATGTTTCCTTAGCCAAGTCAAACTTGGAGATTCCAAAAGAAAATCAACCAGCAGATGTTCAGTTACTGCTTCCTAGATATTTATTCCAGTAACAAATGAACCAATAAAAACAACTTCATTAAAAATAATTGTTTCTGTCTTAATTGCAATGCTTTCCCAACTGTATTGTCCCCCTTTCGGCTTTGTGGCTCATGAGCAGGTGAAAAATAAAATAGAGAAGCTACAGTAATAACACTCACTCCATTCATCAGAGCTTCGTCAGGCCCCCACTGGTGTGTAATCTCAACTTTTCTCCCTTGCTTACATTCCTCTTGGGGACCTCCATATGACCATTAGCACCAGGTTCAAATCATTTATTCCTTTATTTAACAGTGATACTTTTTCTTCAAGCCATTATTTGAAGAAAATAAATAAATTAGATAAAAACAGAGCTGCTATGTTTGAAGCAAAGATTGCCCTTACCCCACCCTCCAACCCTTCCCCCAGCAGTTCCTCTGCTGGGCCCTCTCTCAAAACAACTGAAAACCACCAGCTTTGGGCTGTGATATACCCCAGGGCCTCAGCACAGCATCTCAGGCCTTCCGAGGGCTCCCTCTGCCTACCACCCAGCCCCGCATAACACAGTCCTGTTCATTCTCACTCCAGGCTACAGACCTCCTCAAACTCCTCATAGGCTCTCAATTGCCCCACACTGCTAAAAGCCTCCTCCATCCTTTGCTCATCCCTTCCTAATTCTCTCCTTTTCTTGTCTGCCTGGTGACCACAGAATTATATTTTGAGACCCAGGTCAGCCATCACCTCTCTTTGGAGAAGACTTTCTTCCCTTTCTAAACCCTTGCATACATACACAGGATGTCAACATGGTATTGTGTCCCTGCTTGCTTTTAAAACTCACCAATCTGCCATCACAATTTTATTTTTCTTTCCATATCTGTCTTCCTAACTGAATCTGAAAAAAAAATGAACTTATTGATTTCTGCATCCCAAGCTCCATACACAGGGTCTGGCACATAATATGTTTTCAATAAATGTTTACTGATTGAACAACGGAATCAATGAATGAACAGAAATAAGGATGAACAGGTCCATGCTTTAATAGTTTGTTTGTACTTATATGTGCTAGTGTTTTACCTTATTCTAATCTCTTATGTCCCATTCTTCCAGTTCACAAATACTTACTGTAGGCAACAACCACATTTTACTAACTCTACAGCACGCAGTTTTCCATATTTAGCTTCTCTAAAATCAGTGTGAATCTTACAATCAATGTATGTTACAATTAATTGGTATCATCTCCTTCCTTACTTCAAGGTATAAGAAATAATGGTGCATCTTACAATCGGTGACAACTGAGACTCAGAAGAAATGCAGAAGTGACACCAGGAAGCCTGCTGAGGATACACTGATTGACAAAATAGGGACAATGCCTTCACACAGAGTTTCCTCATTTTATTGCCTGCAAACAGGAGGAAGATTGAAGCTGGCCACTCTGCCTTCCCTCTGCCAACTTCTCACAGCTGCTTACTTGACTTGGAATCCCCTCTCTTGGCTTCCCACTGTCTCCACTACAAAAGCCTCCAGGGGTGCTGCTGCTTAACACTGATCTAGCATGCCAACAACTCTTTGCCCTTGGCTAGACCTCTGCAAGACTACTATGAACACTTAGGAAGAAACAAGAAAATAAATAGGAAATAAAAAATCTATGTAACACCCTGGCTTACACAGACCTGGCCAGCCAAGATCCAGGCTTGTCTCTACCCCAGCCAGACCCGATGGCAAGAGAGACTCCCCATAGGGCTGGCCCAGGTGCTCGGACCTGGGTTCCTCACTTTTGACTCCCTCTCTGGTGAAGAGATCAAGATGATAAAAATACATCATCTTACCACCCTATCCACACCCTGATTCCTTTCCAGTAAAACCCAAGGAGGTAGATTTCTACTCTATAGTTGGCCCTGGGCTTGCTCCAGTTCTGGTTTCTGAAAGGAGCCTACCTTTCACGAGAGCCCCCACTTCATATAGAGAGTGGAGCTGTATCATTAGACAGTTAATTCCAGCTGCCCCCTGTGTCACAGCTGTAAGCCCAGTGCCTGGCATACAGCAGGAACTCAGTAAGTCCTTGTGACTCAGTGAATGAATGAATGCCTTTAAAATTCATCATGTGTTTACCATGTATCTGCTATTCTGCTAAGCAGCTTGATTACAATGCCACTTTTAATCCTGACCACAATTCTTGAAGACAATAACTATGATGACTCCCATTTTACTGATGAGGAAAATGAGTCCCAGACAGGTAAAGTAACTTGCTCCAGTATGTCATATAACTAGGCAGTAATACAATTGATGGCAATCCATTCCCTCTGGCTCCATCAGCCCTAACCTTTCTCAGGATGCTCCACTGCCTCCTGCTATTCCTCTATTTACTAAATGCCCATTTGTCAAGGACTTTGCTGGGGGACCCTGCCTACTGTGCCTAAAGTTGGCTGACTCAGAACCCAAGCTGTTCATCTTCAGAGACTGACCATTCCACAACAGCTGCTTCCAGCAAACCATGGATTTCTATAACATATTACCAGGGCACCATGCAGGGAAGAGTTAAACTGTCCGAGTATCATTCACACACATCACCTAGTTCATGTTTTCCTATGAAACAGATCCTACTTGAATATTTCAGGTTCACCACTTTTCCCATTATTATAGTTTTAACTGATTTCTGTGTGATTATTTCTGTACCTGGAATCTAAAAGCAGGGACATTCAAGCCCTTGGGCAGCTTCCCTGAAATCTGACCTGTGAGCTCCAGCAGAGGATTTTCTGCAACACAGATCCCCTGCTCTTCCCCGTCTATGCCCTTTGTTCCTGGGTCATGACTATGATCTGCTGTGTCCTGGACTCCTAACCTTATGCAACCAGGACCCCTTAGCTTCAAAAAGTAAAGTAACTGCTAAAATGGAAAACGTTATTCCTTTTTCTAGTTTGTTTAAAGAAAACAAAGATAAGGATCCTCATCTGGTCACGCATTCCCACACAATGGTCATCTCATTCACAGGAATCCAATCAGTTTGGTAAACCTATTACCACTTTATTATATCTCAGCAGGGTGGAGTAATTTGCTCAAAGTGACACAAACAGTAAATGGCATCAGGATTTGAACCACAGTCTCTTGAGGCAAGTTTAGGGCTCCTTCCACAATATCCAGCTAAAAGTGAAATCCAAACCCTTTGATTTCTTCTTCAATAAGAACAACAAACGCAGCAAGGAATATCTATTAAGCTCTGCTCTGCAGAACACCATGTGACTCTATGATTTCATTTAATCCTTATAGCAACCCTGTAAGGTAGCAGTATGAGCCCCATTTCCCAGCTAAAGAAAGTGAGGTTCTCAGACAGGAAGCAGTTTAAAGTCGCATGGCCCAGAAGCAGAGGGACTGGGGTTTGAGGCTAAGTCGGTGTGACTCCAAAGCCCGTGTTATGATTAGTGAGAGTCGGAACTGAGGTTTCATTTCATTCTTTTTAGGCAAAGATAAATACTCTAAAAAGAAAAGCAGCTGTTAGGGATATGAGGAGGGTGGTCAGGTGGAAAGAAATGAGGGCATGGACTGTGGACGGCAAAGAGAAAGAAAAATAACAGAAATTCAAGCTGTGCTGCTCCCAAGTCCTGGGACATTCCTAACTTCTCAATCTACAAGATGTTTCAAAGAACAGAAACAGCCTTCTGTCCAAGTCCCCAGCATGGACTGGACTGACTTTTAGCCCCTATTTATGATCAAAAGACTGTTCTGTATGGTAAATATTTACACAGTTCATTAAATAATAGCCTGTATAAATATTGTTAGAAATGTGCCACAGGAAGCCACAGACTTTGTGGCTGATTCTTCAACAAATGTGCAAACTGCTCAAATGCAGTGTGAGAAAAGGAAAAGGGGACCTGGAAATAGGGGGCTGTCCTTTGCAAAGAGATTTTAGCAAGCCTAAGAAGGGGGTAAAAGCTACAAATACTCTGCTAAAAAATGATCATGTGGGGATTGTTATTTTATAGTTTTCCCCTCCTTTCCCCCTGAAGCATTCAAATTGCTGCCTATGACGACAACCCCCCAGGAGTGGATGAGCTTACCCTATTTCTTAAGGAGCCACTCCTCCAGGATCTATGTGGTGACAGTCCACAGAAGCAGTGTCCCAGAAATCTGGGAAGGAATTCAATATCCTCTATCAACTTTGATCTTTGGACTTTGCTGGGAGTTGATGTACACAAGTCCTGTGCAATTTATTTAGTTAGTTATACTGCAATCAGGGGTTTGCTAAGATTGGGAAGAAAAAAGACCTCAGTCTTCTTAACAGAAAGGACTGAACACCACTTTCAACAATTCTCACATGCTCTAAGAGGGTGGGAAATTTTTAAATGAGAAGAGCTGATAGTTGGTTCTCTATGGACTCTATCAACAATACACAGAAAGAAAAGACCAGCTTTCTAACCAAACTTTCTCTCTAAATGTGAAAATCTCTTATGGCCTCCTCTTCAGTTCTTTTTCAGCCTTTCACTCCAAAGGGAGGCATTTCTAAAAGTTTTAAGGTTGCCAATACTGACTCAGAAGAAACCCAAACACTGCCCTGGTTCCCCAAACTTTTAGAGTCTGTAGCAACAGCACAAGACATCTTTCATCTAGACATACCTGTGGCCTGGCGTAGTCTGTAAAAAGGAGTATAAGTATATTTTCAATCAAGTGCTCATTTTGTGGCATCTGAAGGAAGGAAGGGAGTAAGCAGGGAATCCATTCCCTGAATACTGAGAAGCTGAGCCAGGCCTTTATCTAGCTCCTGGAAGAGCAGAATAATCCTTTATTCATCATTGATGTCTAACACTAATGCCTAACAAAGGACCTTGCTTGTTGCAGATCAAGAACAATTCAAAAGAATCTAGAGAAAAGGAAAAGAGGGGGAAAGGAAGGGACAGTGTGGTGGGGAGAGGGAAAGAAAGGAAATGGGGGAAGGAAATGGGGGAAAGGAATGGGAGAAATCAGAAGGGAAGATGGGGTAAGGAGGAAATTGAACTGGTAAGTGGAAGCCTCAGTGATGCACAAAATGAGAAACTAAGAAATCCCTTGACTGATGACAGGAAGGGAGAAGAAAAAAAAGCAGACATATACCTTGGCTAACAAATAACAACCACCAAATTCTTCCTGCCCCAGAAAAGTCTATTAACATAATCCAGAGAAGGAACAGATTATAAAAAAATGTCATTTCCAAGAGAGCCAGATGTAAATCCAAATAAAACACAACACAAACCAACAAAACCCTTTCTCTACTCTGAGGGTCAGCCACTCACATCTGGAATGCTTGCTGTCACCAACTGGACAGACCTGAAGACTCCCAGCACCAAGAAGTTCACATGTGGGACCCATGACATGTAGGTTCCCTGAGTCAGCTGGCTAACAGGCTCTGAAGATCCCAGACACCACAGAACATGAGAAAGCAATATCACACACAGTTTCTGAGCCTAGAAGTTCTCAAAAGAAGCTCCAAGAAGAATTACAGAAGTTATCCTGCTAAGCAGTGCAGGGCTGTGTCTTGACAACTGAGGACGTGAGCTGGGTCTACCTTCTCCACCTCTGTATCCCCAGTGCACACATACACAAATAAATTCGGTATATAGTAGGTACTCAATAAGGAGCTGATAAATGGAATAACGAATAGTCACTGCATTTGGGAGAAATGAAGGCATTTCTTCTGCACATCACTAAAAAATAAATCTTCAATATCCACAGGGTAGAGAGTAAGATGTGAGGGTCACCATACTGAATTCAGAATAGGAAACCTGACGCTTGTTCTGTGTCTACCATTGACTAACTTTGGGCAAGTCTCTTCACTGATGCCTCTCTCCACTGGTATGAGACTCATGAATTCTATACAACTACTCCAAGCAGTTGTTGTGAAGATTAAAGGAAATAATGAGCACAGAGAGACCTTTAAAAGAGCAATTCCTTTATAACCAGAAAGAATCAATGGCACTGGGAGGCACAGAAGGAAAATTTGGGAGTAATAGTATAGCATCACCAAAGACATTCTATAGCCTTCTTACTCAAAGTATGATCCTCAAATCAACCTTCACCTCCAAAACCAAATCACCTCCTGACACCATCTTATTTTTAAATTTTTTTTATTTCCATAGATTTTTGGGGAATAGGTGGCATTCAGTTACATGAGTAAGCTCTTTAGTGGTGATTTATGAGATTTTGGTGCAACATCACCCAAGCAGTATACAATGAACTCTGTTTGTAGTCTTTTATCCCTTATCCCCTTCCCACTCTTTCCTGCTGAGTCCCCAGTCTACTGTGTCATTCTTATGCCTTTGCATCCGCATAGCTCCCACATGAGTGAGAACATACAATGTTTGGTTTTCCATTCCTGAGTTACTTCACTTGGAATAATAGTCTCCAATTCCGTTCAGGTTGCTGAGAATGCCATTAATTCCTTCCTTGTTATGGCTGAGTAGTATTCCATCAGATATAGTCCATCTTACACACACACACACACACACACAATTTCTTTATCCATTCATTGACTTTGGTTGATTTCACATTTCTGCAATTTCTGACACCCATATCTTTTAATATGTGTTATCTACACCTAGGCATTCTCACCATATCTAATAGCTTGATTTCCAGTAAACCAATATTAAGTGCTTCCACTATGCCAGGACGCTAGGAATAAGAGGCTGAAAAATACATTATTTCTAATTTTAATAAACTGACAGTCTAATGTTACAGTCTGAATGCTTGTGTCCTCCAAAAATGTATGTGTTGAAACGTACCCCTAAGGTGATGGTATTAAAAGTGGGATCTTTGGGAGATGATGATGTCATGAGAAACGAGCCCTCATGAATGGGATTAGTGCCCTCATAAAAGAGGCCCAAGGAAGACTCTTGACCCTTCTACCATGTGAGGACACAGCAACAAGTCAGCAGTCTGCAACCCAGAAGACAGTCCTCACCAGATACCAAATCTGCAGTGCCTTGATCTTAAACTTCCCAGCCTCCAGAACCATAAGAAATACATTTTATATGTTGCAAATAAACCACTGCATTTATGGTATTTTGTCATAGCAGCCTGAATGTACTAAGATTAATGTAAAGACCTGAATTTTTAAAATCAAACGGTGATGACTCAATTTATTCCTCATTTATATACTTCAAGCAAAACCTAATGCACCTAGTAAAACTGCATGTGGAAGTAAAGCGGTTTCATGCTGCCACCAGAATTCTGGTCACCCATACTTTAGGAACCAGGCATCCCATACCAACTCCTCCTTTTTCCACAGAATGAAGAGAAGTTAATGAGTTAATGGAGGTACCAGTTTACTGCCTTCATTAATGTTCCCACAGTTCCGACCTAGTAGGTCAGAAACTCAGTATTTTTCAGGTTTGGGGGGGGATCCTTATCTCTTTACTGAGCCCATTTTTAAAGAATGCTCATGTCCTCCAAAAATGTATATGGTGAAACAAGAGGTGATTGGAAGAGGGGCATGGTACTGACTCAGAAAGACAGTAGAAAAGATGGCTGTCCTTTTAAATTTAAAGTAGGATTGAAAAAGGCAGAAAAGACAGAACCTACCAAATCCCCAAGCCTCACAATGTGGCAGCCACAAGAATCCAAACTGAGCCAGTCTTAGATGGTAAAACAGTCTTGAACGGTGGCCAAAAGCCATCACCTTCCAAGAGCCACACAGGTAATGTCCAACAGTAGTCACAAGGGAAATATAAAATCCAAACTTGGCTGTAGCCAAATGTACAAAACCAGTCCTAATGATATGGATAAAAAATCTGACTCATCAAATGACATTCCCAAATTCCACCAACAAACATCCCGTTAAAGAAATTAAACTTCAGATCTCCCATAATACCATCCATAAAACCCTGCTTACTCCCTCCCAAGCATTCTGTTCAACCCTTGTGTTCCAATAAAGTAACTATTTACTTGTTTATAATGCCTTCTTTTGTTGCCCTACCAAGCCATTCCCTTTAAAGAGAAAAGGGGAGCAGAACCCACATTTATAACACCTACCAAAGTATATGTTGTTTCTCCATCTACATGAGGAAACTGAAATGCTGAAAGAGTCAATATCCTGTTGATGGTCACAAAGCCCATAGAGGGACAAAGCCATATTGAAGTCCAATATCAATTGAAAAATTGCCAAAATCAATTGAAAAAAAATCCAAAATAGACAGATGGGATAGAATTAAACTAAAGAGCTTCTGCTGAGCAAAAGACACTATCAAGAGACTGAACAGGCAACCTACAGAACAGGAGAAAATTTTTGCAATCTACCCATCTGACAAAGGTCTAATATCCAGAATTTACAAGGAACTTAAACAAATTTGCAAGAAAAAAAAAACCCCATCAAAAAGTGGGCAAAGGATATAAACAGACACTTCTCAAAAGAAGACATTTATGCAGCCAACAAACATATTTTAAAAAGCTTAACATGACTGATCATTAGAGAAATGCAAATCAAAACCATGATGAGATACTATAACACACCAGTCAGAATGGTGATCATTAAAAAGTCAAGAAACAGTAGATGCTGCTGAGGCTGTAGAGAAATAGGAATGCTTTTACACTCTTAGTGGAAATACAAACTGGTTCAACCATTGTGGAAGACGGTACAGAGATTCCTCAGGGCTCTAGAACCAGAACTACCATTTGACCCAGCAATTCCATTACTGGGTATATACCCAAAGGAGTATAAACCATTCTACCATAAAGACAAACGCATATGTATGTTTACTACAGCACTGTTTACAATAGCAAAGTCATAGAATCAACCCAAATTCCCGCCAATGATAGACTCAAGAAAATGTGGCACATATGCACCATAGAATACTATGCAGCCATAAAAATATGAGATCATGTCCTCTACAGAGACATGGATGAAGCTGGAAGCCAACATCCAATATGTTTATTGCAGCACTGTTTACAATAACAAAGTCATCGAACCAACCTAAATGCCCATCAGTGATAGACTAGATAAAGAAAATGTGGTACATAGGCACCATGAAATACTATGCAGCCTTAAAAAGGAATGAGATCATGTCCTTTACAGGGACCTGGATGAAGCTGGAAGTCAACATCCTCAGCAAACTAACACAGAAAGAAAAAACCAAACACCACATGTTCTCACTCATAAATGGGAGCTGAACAATGAGATTACATGGACACAGGGAGAAGAACAACACACACTAGAGCCTGCTGGCGGGTGGGGGATGAGGGAAGGGAACATAGAGGACAGGTCAATAGGTGCAGCAAATTACCATGGCACACATACACCTATGTAACAAATCTGCAGGTGCTGCACACGTATCCTGGAACTTAAAGTAAAATATTTTTTAAAAAGAATCTTTAAAAAAAAAAAAAAAAAAACAGGTTTGTATCAGCCAGAGCTGAACCCCTTCTCCCATCTCTGAAATGAGTTGGCCTTCCATACTAACCAAACTGCCTGTGTCCTGGGCACACTCAGAATGAACTTTCACATCCGTTAATCCTGTGAAACCTTCTCAGATGATCATTAGAAATGCCTTCTCCATGATCCAGTTAATACAGACTGCCTGATGTCACAATAAATCCTACTGTGGGAAACATTAAATATTAACTGAAAATGCTCTGCCCCCTACCTTCCTTGTAAGCACAATGTATTGTAATGTAGTAATAAGGGGAATTACTGGGCTGTGAAGGAGGAGAGGATTATTAATATATAAAATAGCCAAATACCTTTTAAAATAAAAAGACCCTAAAAACTTTCTGCCCCTGGAGAGTTCTAGCAGCATTATGAGTAAGCCTTCTGTGTGGCATGTGGCTGAAGAACCATGCTCCTCTTTGGGGCAATCTCTCTCCTGAGCAGGGGACCCCATTTAAATAGGAACACACACTGAGAAGAGAGGGAAGATGGA